AGTTGCAGTGAAGACCCCAGGATTGAAGGGGTCATAGAGAGACTCTGAGGTGTTACACCCCAAGAGGCCAGAAGAGGCTATTAGTGAGGGTGCAGCCTCAGTTTCAGTGGAGACCCCACTCAGTTTTTTGGAGATGCCAGGACCATGGGACAGCCACCAAGGGCAGCAGCTGGTGTGGAATGGAGCTGGCCTGGGTCTGTGAGATGAGCTGTGTGTGCTGTGGACAGCAGAGTCAGAGAAGTGGTGCTACTGAAACCGTGGAGCCCAGAAGATCGTGAGTGAATCCCAGATGTCCAGTCTTGAGCTACTTTGTTGGACTTAGATTTTGCTTAGGTGTGCCCAATTCTTCCCTTTGAAATAAGACAGTATGTGTTTTGGATTTTACAGAAGCTCATAGTTGAGACTTTTAAAAGAGATTATGAACTTTTAAGTGTTTGGATTTTTTAAAGACTGTAAGGCTTTTAAGTTTGCACTGTCTTGTGATATAAATACTAACATCATTATCTTGGGGACAAGAAATGGAAAGGTTATGATTTAATAGTGATGTGTTTGTGTGTCAAGTTGACAAGGGGTCAATTGTGCTGGATAGCTTTAGTGTCAACTTGACACATCTGGGTTGAGGGAGCCTCAGTTGGGAATTTCCTCCATTGGACGGGCCTCCGGCCATGTCTGAGGGACATCTCTTGACTATTGAGTGATATAGGAGGGCCCAGCTCACTGTGGGTGGTGCCACCCCTGGGTAGGTGGGCCTGTGTTGTATAAGAAAGCAGCGGCCAGGGGAGCAAACCAGTAAGCAATGTTCCTCCATGGCCTGTGCTTTAGCTCCTGCCTCCAGGTTCCTGCCCTGAGTTCCTAACCTTGGGCTCCCTGATGAATTGTGAGCCAAATAAACCCTTTCCTCTCCAAGTTGGTATTGGTCAGAGTGTTTTGTCACAGCAATCGAAAGCAGACTAGAACAGGGACCTATAAATTATACAGAAGACTATGCAAGTAAAAGGTTCATCTAAGTCTGGGCTTGATAAAGGATGACAAAGTAAAACAAAAAAATCTCTCTTTGAGCGATCAGGTTAGTGCTAAAGAAAGCAACCTATTTTGGGGGCTGGTGAGATGGCTCAGCGGTTAAGAGCACTGATTGCTCTTGTAGAGGGCCGGGGTTCGATTCCCAGCACACACATGGCTGCTACTAACCATCCTTAACTCCAGTTCCAGGGGAATCCGAAGCCCTCTTCTGACCTCTGGGGCATTACACGACATGGTGCACTCACATACATGCAGGCAGTACACTCACACACATAAAATAAAAAATAAAAATAATAAATAAAATATTTTAAAAACAGAAGGTAACCTATTTCAAGGAAGAATTTAGTGTTCTTCCAGGATTAAAGTCATGCCAATATTGACTTTTTTTTTTTTTTTTGGCCTGACTTTTTAACTTCAGGAAGCTTTACACTGTTGTGCACAGAGCTAGGCTAGGCTAGGCTAGGCTAGACCCTTCCAGGTGGAATTATTCAGCATCTGAATTGCAGCTTTTTATTTCACCTGAAGTAATTCTAGGCTGACCATGTTTAGTTCCCATCATAGACTTCTATTTGCTGATTTTGAAATATTGTTTGAATTCCAAAGGAAGTTTGGGTAAATGGAAAAAGAGGATATTTAGGGCAATAACACAGTTCTTGAGGTTATATGATGGTAGATCAGCAACGTAGGGTCAAATCCTGAGTTTGATCTGAACTTGGGATTTTACGTAAGCTTTTTAAGTTTTCGGAGCTAGTTTGCTCATATAGAGAGGCAATTGTGTCTTCCTCAAAGCTTTGCCCAAGACAGTACATTTATCACCATCGCCTACCCTTGGAAAACAATGCACGCGCACATGGTGGAGGCCAGGGGTTGGCATTATACATCTTCCTTAGTTGCTCCCCACCTTATTTTATGAGCCTGAGTTTCTCATTGAACCTGGAGCTCACCAATTCAGCTTGACTGGTGGTCTTTGAGCTCCAGGGATCCATTTGTCTCTGTTCCACCCCCAGAACTGGGGTTTTACAGGTGGCACTTAGTTTTTGTGTGTGTGTGTGTGTGTGCTGGGGATTTGAACTCCAGTCCTTATGCAGCAAGCACTTTACCAACTGAGCCATCTCCCCAGCACCGAGAAAGGAGACTCCTAATTGTTTCCCTGATACATACACACACACACACACACACACACACACACACACACACACACGACTTTAGCCATTAGCTAAATCAGAGGTTAACATTTACTGAGGGTCAATTTTAACCATTTTCCTTGGCCTGATTCCCCACTCTTTCTAATCCTTGTTTCCAGTAAAAGATTAGATTTCTGGTGAATGAGAATGGTGGCTGGGACTAGACAAATACCTAAGTAAACAACTTGAAGAAATTATTTTTTCCTCATGGTTTCAGGGGTTACAATCCAAGATCAGCTTGCTGCATTGTTTCTGAGCCTATGGTTAGACAGGACATCATGGCAGGAGGGCACGGTGGAGTACAGCTGTTCACTTAAGGGTAGCCAGGAAACAGAGTACGCCTGTGCTAGTAGGCTTCCTCCTCTCCCCACTTCTTTACCATCCATGATTCCAGGCTATTGAAAAGTGCACCCATATTCAGGGGAGGCATTCATTTCTTCATTAACTATCTCTGGAAAAATCCTCACTGGCACGCCCCAAAGTGTGCTTTGCTAAACCCCTAGACATTTCTTAATCTAATTAAGCCAACAGTCAAGATTAGTCATCACTTCAAAGGTTGCCCCAGTGCACAACTATAAAATGACAGCTGACAACCAGTTTTTCTCAGGTTACCTGAGGACCATAAGCCTCTTGGATTTTGGTGTGATCCTTAGAAGCAGCCCTACTGATGACTAAGGTGGATTTTCTCATCAAACTGTTGAGAGGGAGATTTCAGGTGAGGATTAACTTCATTCAAGCATTTAACAGGCTTCAGACTGAGTCATACTGCCTGATGGTGGTAAATTAGAGCAAACTTTTTTTTTTTTCTTTTAAAAACATGGAGAATGAAATTCAGGACTTCCCTTTCCCCTCCCACCACCTCCCGGTAATCCATCCACCTTTCTCACACAGGGGTCTGAACTCAAATGTCCTCATGGGTTCCTTCTGCTACTCCTATGTCCACAGCTAGTTTAAATCCTAACAGTCCTACTGTAGGATCACTGTGTGGTGAAATGGCAAATTGTGCCTGGTATAAATGAGAAGGGTTACCAGTTCCCATTCTGTTAGTACCACATCCAAAGTCTCATTTCTGTCATCCTTGTGTTAATTTATGACCAGCGTTTTAGAAGTTAAAACATGTTTATTGGGAAAGGGAAATGCTATCAGTATACTGTGGCACACAGTGAATTATCTCACTAAAGTTTGCTGAGGCTTTCACCTTGCCTACAACACTAGCAGCTAAGATGAGCAAGCTGGCACAGGTATATTAATCAAATGAATAAACAATCTACTTCTAAGTGAGTTAAAAGCATCAGGCTCTTCACCGTCAAGCATCTTTCTTTGATAATAGGATTGCTGCTTATCTAGATCTATAGCCCCTGTGGAGATTCACTCCTAGAGGGCTGCTGGAGTGTGGCGGGGGTGGGGGGAGGGAACTACTCAAACATTAGGGTTTTTTTTTTTTTTTTTTTTTGGTTTTTTTGAGACAGGGTCTCCCAGTAGCCCCAACTGTCCTGGAACTCACTATGTAGACCAGGCTGGCCTTGAACTCACAGAGATCCGCCTGCCTCTGCCTCCCAAGTGCTGGGATTAAAGGCGTGCACAATCACACATGGCCCAAACATTAGGTTTAAGTGACATTGACAGAGATGTATATTTACGTCAAGTCAAGGTAGAATGTAGTCCAACAGCCACTGTAGTTACATTCTGCGCATCAGAATAAGGCAACTGGTGGGGAAAAAGGAGACATTTGCTGTGGACTGCTGTCTTCTGAGAAATCTCATAGTACCTATAGCATAACTTGGCTTTAAGCAGAACACCAAGAGCCTTGTCATCTGTGTTGACATCAAAGAGATTACTCATTGAATGAGCTCAAGGTTAGGACTTGTTGACACACATTAAATATATCTGTTATCAACTTCTTGACCCTAAATGTGACTCATTTGCTACATTTCACAGGGCTCAGTGATTTTTCCTGTTTTCTGAATAGAGTTTTTGATATAAAGATTAAGATTTATGGGGCTGGAGAGATGGCTCAGCGGTTAAGAACACTGGCTGTTCTTGCAGAACACCTGGGTTTGAATCCCAGCACCCACATAGCAGCTAACAACTGTCTGTAACTTCAGTTCTAGGGGATCCGACAGCCTCTTCTGTCTTCCATGGACATTGCACGACACGAGTACACTTACCTACATGCAGACAATACACACATACACATAGAATAAAAATAATAAAATATTAAAAAAGATTAATACTTAAAAAATTTTAAAATATGTGTACGTGCATGTGAGTGCAGATGCCTGTGGAAACCAGGGGCGTCGGATCCCCCAGGAACTGGAGTTATAGGCAGTTGTGAGCTGCCTGATGTGGTTGCTGGGAATTGAATTTGGGTCCTCTGGGGTCCTCTGGAAGAATAGTACATGTTCTTAACCACTGAGCCATCTCAGCAGCCCAACATTAAAATCTTTATCTGAAGTGGTCTTTTTTTTTCTGAAACAGTCTCATGTATTCTGGGCTGGCCTCCAACTCACTATATAGACAGGAGTGACCTTAAACTTCTGCCTTCGGCTCCAGAATGCTGGGATTTCAAGTGTTGTGTGTGCCACCATGCTGGATTTATAGGGTGCTAGGGATTGAATCCAGTACCTTGCACATGCTAGGCAAGCACTGTATCTACTAAGCTATATCCTGAGCCCCATCTGAAGTGGTCTTCAAAGTATTTTTCATTAGTAGAAACGCAATCTATTTAATTTTTCAGTGTATAGGCCTGATCTTATAGTCCCATTATCACATATCCAAGAAATTTCTGGAGACAAAAAAAGGAAAGATTTTTTTATTGTAAATTGATCTTCCTTTAACTTAAAGGTTAAGCCATGTTCTGTTTACAACAGATGGAAACACCAGAAGCTGAAATCTGGTCCATTTATTATCACCACTTGAAAGCACATTCATTTATACTTCTGCTGAAATCTCGCTGCATCCACCTCCAGCCTCCCTGGACTGAAATGTCTGACATTTGGAATGCAAGGACTCTCAAGAAACAGTGCTGAGGTGTGGGATGGAACATTTCAGAACTCATGAAATCCATTGTGAAATGATAGTAGACACAGAGGGTGCTTAATTATATCCTGAGAAGTTAAAGTTTCTAATTTTATATAGAAGGGGAAATGTGGATTACATAAAGTACAATTAAAAACATCTTAAATAAAAATTCATAGTACAAGTTCTGGAAACTTTGTGATGAGCTACAAAATCTGGGAAAATTATTGTCATGAAATTGTTCCTTTTTACCTCATTTTCTATATAATATTAACTCTTAAGGCTATTTGGTTATATCGCATGAAATTAGTTCTCATGAGTACTGTCAGAGCCTTAAAAGGAGATATTGAAGAAAAAAGAATGAGGAAAAAGAAAAGTTAAAACAGTGAAATTCTGATTAATATTAAATGAAATCAACTTTAAACCTGATAAATCAGCTTTCAAGAAAATCAAGTACTTATTGTCATTTAGCTTTGTATCCAACAACTGCATCAAACTTAACATTGATCCTCTGTTTTAAGAGTGCCAGGAACCGCTCAGGAAAGACCCTATAAGAGAGACATGTAAACATAATTAGGGAAATGATAATATGTACACTTGCAAAATACATTCTTTTAATTTAAGAAGTATGTTGCCGGGTGTGGTGTCACACATGTTTAGTCCTAGCACTCGGGAGGCAGAGGCAGGTGGATCTCTATGAGTTCAAGGCCAGCCTGGTCTGGTCTACAAACAAGTTCCAGGCCAGCTGGGAAAACAGGGGGACCCTTTCTCAAAAAAACCAAAAAAAAAAAAAAAAGGAATCATGTCAGATCCATCACAGACATGTTTAAGAACTTGAACTTGGACTTTATTCTTTCCTATTACAAGAGACTTAACTTTCTTTAGGGTACCAGTATCCTAAATATCTTCTGAAATATATACACATATGTATTTACTTATTTTTAAAATAAATAGCTATTTTTCAAAAGATCTAAGACAGGAGACATACAAGATTAAACAGGTACTGAAGGGTTAAGAGAAAAGAAACACGAAATTGGAAAGGAAGTGAAACGTAGAGCTAATTTTATGCTTTATAATCCAGAATATCCTTTCCATGTTCCACTAAAAGACCAGAGAAGCAGAACTACTAAATGAGAATACAGGCAATGCGCTTGGTTTTGAGCATAATGCTGAACAAATTAATTGACCTTTGAGTTTAAATTTCTCACATGTAAATGGAAAATTTTATGCCACAAGGTTCTTGTGAAATGAACCTTGCTACATATTGTATAAAAGGCCACAAACAGTGACAGACATGCAGTTGATCTCATTTTTCCCCTCCCAACTTATAATTATGACTATCTAGGAGCCTGTCACATTCTAATGGGTCTGAGAGAAAATAAACAGAATATAAGTTAATGTAATGACATACAGAGATCTGCTAGACAGCACTAAAACAGGGTTTGGAAATAGCACCCAAGAGTGCTACCAGCAGCTGTAGCAATAGCAGACAGTGATATAAGGCACTCACTGAGTGCTCGCAGAGTGCTGAGTACTTCTTAGGCAATGTTTCATTTACTCCTTGAGTCCTACTCTTGCCTTTATCTTACAGATGATGAAACCGGGCTTCAAAGGAGTTGGAAAACTCATCACTTTCATGCTGTGAACAAACCACACAAACACAGCTTCACCCAGCTCTAGGGCACACACCTTACTTAGCTTCAGTGTACATAGTGCCCTGAATTGAGCACACACTCTAGAGCACACACTCAAGTCTCAACAATAATAGAAGTCCAGAGATCAGAATTAATTTATTGAATCAGCCAACATGTTTGTGCCTCCTATGTGCCAGCACTCTTCCAAATACAGGGGACACAGCGCTGAAAAAAATGGCAAATTCTTTCAGAGGACTGTATTCTAAAGGGCTGACGTCCGTAATGTGTCACACACTGTGCTAAAAAATACAGATTTCTGAGTCCCAATTCAAATATCTTATATTGAAAATTTTAGAAGCAAGATCGAAGAACCTATTTTAAGTAGATTTTCATGTGATCCTGATCCCCATCAGGTTGGAAAAGTCTGAGTCTAGGCACAGACAAAAAGATTATTTTTTTTTTCTCCTAGCTTGCTTGAGGCACTTCTCAGCTTTTCCTCATTAACAGCCTCCGCACCAGGAAGTTTTCTCAGGTGTCACTAGAAACTTCTTGATACCCCGCTTTCCAAACTGGGCTGTGTACCAGAGTGGCCAGGAGAGCTGGGGGGCAGGTCCCAGACACCAGCACCTTCTAATCTCTGAGAATCCCAGTGTGCCCCAAAGTGGAGTGCTGCTGAGATTTTAATATGCAGCCTCAGGGAAGCTGGTGGAAATGCAAATTATCATCCAAGCTGAGCAGGAGGTTTGGTAGTCCTAACAAACTCCCCCCGACCGATACTGATGCTACTGCTGCTGCACAGACCACACTGCAAACAGTAAGGCCCGAGGTCTCTAAAATTATAAAAGATGATTCAGCGACTCCTATACTTAAGACAATTTTCTATAAAATAAAACCTCCATGAGATCGGTGAATGAAATCTAAAATTTAACTATAGTCTCCTTTTCATCATCCTGTGCTATGGTTCTCCTATTTAAAATGCTTTAAAACTGGCTGGATGTGGTGGCCCTCACCTTTAATCCTAGCACTTTGGAGGCAGGGGCAGGTGGATCTATCCACCTTCACTTACCAGGTAACACTTGACGAAATATACAAATTTCTTTTAAATAATTAATCCTTAAAAATGTGTAAAAATAATTCAGCATCTATATGTGTCTTACCTCAATGATTAACATATGTGGTTTTAAAAAAACTGACAGGACTCCTATATTAAACTTCACCCACCCAAGGCTCAGGGACTATCAAGGAAGAGGAGGCAGAAAGATTTTAAGAGCCAGGGAGGAGGTGCATGACCATATGGAAACAGAGTTCTACAAGCTCCTGGGAACCTGCTCATATGACTCTATGGCAATGGTATCAGCATGCACAAGTCCCATGCAAACTCAGGCAGACAAAAGTCCAGCATAGAACTGGGAAAATGAACAGCAGACCCCAATCTTATGTGAAGAAATAGGCAACTGATTACTACTGATCTTCCTAAAACAAGGGACTCTAGATAGACTGACTAGACCTCAGTGGATGGACTGGTACTGGGGAATGTCTGGGGACACTGACTTGACAAAATGGGCCTTAACAGGGATGACAGAGTATATGGCTGCAGTGGGAGGCTATGGGAGGGTGCCAGTGGGGATGGGGGTATAAAGATAATTAAGATTGTTTGAGGTGTTCTGTATGACATACAAAAAAATTCAATAAAAACAAATTTAAAAATTGAGAGAATATTAATCCCATATAGCTGCATTTTATCAACTGATTTTAAATCCAAGTAGAAGCATAAAAATAGATATTTGATTCTAAAGCTGACAAACATAACCACCACTTACCTTTCAAGTAGTGTCAAAAGCTTTATGGAAGATGGAACAAAAATCATTTTCTGCTCGGTCAGGATGCCATTCATGAGCTTCTCTACCACCTCCTCAGGCTCCAGGGTGGGTCCCAAACTGAAACAGAGGCAATCTTCAGAAACAAGGCACCTCACTGAAATTTAAGTCTGGTGCTAACCAAGTGGAATTACCTTGGGGCCTGTAACATAACTGATCAGCAGCTAACCCATCACAAGCTCTCAGAAACAGTGTTGTTATGCCACCAGTAACAACCGCTTAAATAACACACATGTACACATCACACTAAGACTTCCACACAGGGAATCCCATTAAAATTTTACAACTCAATGAAGGTGAGACAATAATCCCTACTTTAATGAGTATTAGAGAAATAATTAGGACTAAAATATAATTTAGCTGAATTAAGACTGACAAGTTCACTTTAAAACTTTCAATCCCCTTAGGAAAGAACTCAAACACCATCGTATACATTCATTATACACAAAGTCCCTTTATTAGGTAATATCCAAAAGGTCACAGAAATTAAAATATGACAGGTGTGTGCCTGGTTCTAGGTCCTAGCTCTCCATACAGAACTTTTATTATCTAACAGATCTTGATTTACCTTCCAGCCTCATTCTCTAGATCCATGTCACACCTTCTCTGCATAATCACCCAGGCATACACACTACAGGCTAGCAAGTGGTCCCTAACAGTGGCTTTAAATAATCTAGGCGTTATAGTAAGCACACATAGGAGGACTTGCACAAGAATTGGTCTTCAGTTAACATTTTAAAGATTTTTTTTTGAGTAAGAAAAAGAAAACCATACTTTATATGTTTATAATGTGTTTCAAAATACTTAGCCATATCATCAATCCCAGTCACTACCTTAATTCAAATATTCACTAAGAACATAGTCAAGTGACAGAAATCCATTGTGAGACCCCCACCTAGAAAGAACAGCTACATTGCTACATATAATTTATAAACCTTGCAGGTTAGCCTCTCAGTACTTAGCAAGTTTCTTTAAAACTTACTAACTCCATTGGTTTATGGTGACATTAACATAAATGTCTAATTTCTGTCAACAGTGTATTCACTATGAACATTAACTTCTTAAAAGATAGTGTGGGTTGTGGTATAGTAATGACTGTGGTTGCTGGCTGTGCTGGATAGCTTTAGTGTCAACTTGACACACCTGTGTTGAAGGACCCTCAATTGGAGAATTGCCTTCATTAGACTGGCCTGCGGCCATGTCCATGGGGCATCTTGATTGTTGAGTGATGTGGGAGGGCCCAGCCCACTGTGGGTGGTACCACCCCCCGGGAAGGTGGGCCTGTGTTGCATAAGAAAGCAGGCTGAGCCGGGGCCAGGGGAGCAAGTCAGTAAGCAGTGTTCTTCCACGGCCTGTGCTCCAGCTCCTGCCTCCAGGTTCCTGCCCTAATTTCCTACCTTGGGCTCCCTGATGAACTGTGACCTGGGAGATGTATGATAAAATAAACCCTTTCCTCCCCAAGTTGGTATTGGTCAGAGTGTTTGTTTCTCCATTGCTGTGACACACAAACTAAGACACTGGCAGAGTACTATTCAAAGTCAAAAAGATGGGCAGGTGTGGAAAGGCATCAGCTATACATATGTACTCTCAGTATGCTATGGCTTCCCATGTTTTCCTGTACATACTTGTCTCATAATACAACTTATTTCTTCAAATAATTGGTAAAACAAGATGAATACATTTTTGTTTTTATTTGAAAATAAATGAAAAGTCTCTCATATTTGTTAAATATGGCAAAGAAAAGCTTAAAATTGCCTGAACAATTTTTCACCCTATCTTAGTACCTTAATACAAATTTGGCATCAAGGCCACTAGCATTTTATTATATAAAAATATTCTATTTTATTTTATGTGTACAAATGTTTTGTGCACATGTATGCAAGTGCACCCATACATGCAAAGCCTGTGGCAGCCAAAAGAGGGTGTTGGATCCCCTGGAACTAGAGTTATGAATGGTTGTGAGCTGCCATGTGGGAACTGGAAAATGAACCCAGGTTCTCTAGAAGAGCAGCCGATGCTCTTAACCTCTGAGACATCTCTCCAGCCCTGATCTCTAGCATTTTATGAAAAGCTTCACCAAATACATTATAAATCTGTACTTAAGGCACAGAATTAAGAAATCAAAAACTATATGGCCATGCATCAACATTACTGACACCTGTGGATTATTATAAGTAGACTTATATGTGCATATAATTCAAACAAACTTTTGGAGAGGTAGAATAAAATAAATACACTATTTTTTCATGTCTATTTAATGCTATCCAGGGTTAGATGAAAAGGTTAATATTACCAACAGGAAGAGTCAAACTATGTAAAGGACTATTTTCTAAGTAGTTAGAACAATTTTCCAAAACAAAGATAGGCAAGAGCCTATACCAATACAGTTTTCCTGTAGCGTAACTGCCAGTATGAGGAAACAACTAATACAAATATAAATAGGGATACAGGAACAAGCCACCACTACATTATAATTTGGTAACTAAATTTCTCAGCTAATGTAGTTTGAGGAAAGATTGAAGGCATTGAGAAGAGGTAGCTTTCCATGGGAACATCATTTATGTGCCTTATCATTATCATCATGTGTTTAATCCACTGTTACAAAAAGGTAAATCCTTTCCAGGTATGCTGACTTAGAATATACCATAGTAAGACTATTTAGGCACTAATGCCTCATTGCATTTATATATGGATATACACATAACTGGTTATACATACCAAAAACTTTAAACAGAATTTGAAAACACTTTAATCTCATTTCTGAAAAGTTAATAATATACTGTTGAATTTTCTAGAATATCAAAATGCAATAAAAAAAATATTACTAGCTCTTAAGTGGGTTGTGTAAAACCTCAAGCTCACTCTTTCATAAATTTGGAAGGACTGTAATCCAATGATTGTTTAGCAACAATTTACCAAACTGTAAAATATTCTATTAATAGGCATTATAAAGTGATACTAATCTTATTTGAAAACTATGAGTGTCATACCAGGGAATATACAGCTCATGAATAACTTAAAGTATTTCCCATTTTAAATATTTTATTTTTATTTTATGTGTATGAGTGTATTGCCTGCATGTATGTAAGTGCACCCATGTTGTGCAATGCCTGCGGAGGTCAGAAGAGGGAGTTGGAGCCCCTGGAACTGGAATTACAGATGGTTGTTAGCCACTATGTGGGTGTTGGGAACTGAACCTGTGTCTTCTGCAAGAGCAGCCAGTGCTCTTAACCACTGAGCCGTCTCTCCAGCCCTGTATTCCCCCTTTTTTCTTTTTGATCTTTTTGAGACAGGGTCTCTCTGTAGCCCCAACTGGTATGGCACTTGCTATGTAGACCACACTAACCTTGAACACACAGAGATCCACCTGCCTCCACCTCCCAAATGCTGGGATTAAAGGCATGCCCCACCCTGCCTGGCTCGTATTTCCCATTTTAAAAGGCAACACATAACATACAAAACATGCTATACAATATATAGTATACTTTGTACACTAAACAAAGAAGCTATGATATTGATACATGACTGATATATCTAAAATGATGTGCACAATTATGTTTATGTGATCAGCACATTTTTCTATATGATTCCCTTTTATGCTACACTTTCCCTAGAAGCTGAATTCTGAACTTCCTTTTATTATTGGTACAATCAGGTTCTCCTTCCACATTAAATTATCTTTCATCACAAATTAGTTAACTCATGTCATAAAATGTTTCATTTTCATATTTGTCAAATATCTACTGATAGTGAAAGTAAGCATGTGAAAATATTCTATAAATCCCATGGCACACTGGTCCTAGTTTTGTACAGATGATTCTTTCATGCTAATCCTGCTGGGAAAATATTTATCACTATTCAGAAGCCATGCAACACCATCAAGCACGTGTCTTGTATAACCTACAGTAGGACTCTCACAGTTTTATGAACTTCAGGAAGAAAAATCCACCGTTTAGTTGCTGTCTTTGAGCACACATATCTGGATGGGATTCACTCTAAAGTATGACAGCAAGTACACTTAGCTCAAGGCAGACTTGCCCTAAATGTTAACACTTCCATACACCTTCATTGTGGCCTTCAGATGGTTCAAGAATGTCACCTTTGGAGCAATCTGCCCTTATGTTCTGTTGGATATACTGCTGAGTAGCAAGGGTGCTGCCCATTTCATCAAACGATTTATCAGGCCAATCACAGAAATCCTGAGCCTTCATGCCTGGACTGTTCCTCCTCAGTACTGCTGTCCCCTTTGCCATGACCACAGTGTCAGAACAAGATACTGTTTTTTACTTTTAAAATTTATGATGTCTTTGAGGATGTGCATTGTGTATGTGGGTGTCTGTGAAGGCCAGAAGAGGGTGTCGGAGCTCCTTAAGCTTGAGTGAAAGGTGGTTGTGAGCTGTTGGGACCTGAACTCTGGTCCTCTGCTAAGAGCAGCTCTTAACTGCTGAACCATCTCTCCAGCCCAGTTGTTGACTTTTTTTTGAGACAGGGTCTCACTATGTAGTCCTGGCTGGCCTGGAATTTGTTATGTAGACCAGGCTGGCCTTCAACTCACAGAGCTCTGCCTGTCTCTGCCTCCTGAGTGCTGGGACTAAAGTTGTACACCACCATGCCCAGCTTTGTTAACATTTTATTAATCATTTCTAAAAAAGATACATAATTAAATATACTAAATTGCCAATGCCACCAAATTGCTAACATTTTGGAAAGACAGATTTTGAGTATGTGTGACTAGTTAAAAAGTATGGGATAAAGAATGGGATGATGTTGTTTAGAAGTAAACACAGAATAGTTCATTCAGAAAGAAAAAATAGCCAGGTATGGTGGTGCAAGCCTTTGATCCCAGCACCTGGGAAGCACAGGCAGGTGGATCTCTTGTGAGTTCAAGGCCAGCCTGGTCTACAAAGTGAGTTCCAGGCCAGCTGGGGCTACAGGGAGACCCTGTCTCAAAACAAAACAAAACAAAACAAAACAAAACAAAACAAAAACCCGTGAAATAAAATTAGGATGACTGAAAATGCTGAAAATGCAGCACTGAATTTAAGAGTGGGTAAATAATT